CCGGGCCCGGGGGGGGCCTGGCCTAAGGAAAGCCTGGATCTGGGGGACTTGGCCTAGGGGAAACCTAGCCTGGGGGGCTTGGACTGGGGGATGCCTGGCCCTGGGGGGTCCTGGCCTAAGGGAAGCCTGGCCCTGGGGGGCTTGGCCTGGGGGAAGCCGGGCTTGGGGGGGTCATGGTCTAAGGGAAGCCTGGCCCTGGGGGGCTTGGCCTGGGGGCGCCTGGCCTTGGGGCTGCCCTGGAGAGCCACAGCCCGGCTGTGGGGCTCTAGGCCCAGCCCTGATCCCACTGTGGGGAGCGGGGTGCAGGCCTTGGCCCTGCTCTGGGGGGGGCTTGGCCCTGGGAGGGGGCTGGCAGGGCCCCCCCAGCCCCTGAGGAGCACCGCGCACTGCAGGGGCCTGGCACGGCCGGCTTGGGAAACACAGCAGCTGCCTTCGGAGGCCGGGGAGCACTGGGACATCAGCCAAGGCTGCTGGGGCAGGGCTGGGATGGGGGGCCGCCATTTCCCAGCACCGCACGGGCCCCACCGGCGACATCACCTGCCCCAGGTGACCTCCTGGGGCCTGGGGACAGGCGCTGCGGCAGGGACCTGTCGTTTTTCGGGACTCCCAGCTCAGCTCCACACCCGAAGACCAAAGCCGGTGGGGCCATGCCAGGATGCACCGGCTGCGCTCAGCCCTCAGCACTGGGATCCCGCCAGCCTCAGCATGCTCGCCTGAAACCAGCTTGCTGGAAATGTGGGGTGCTGGATGCAAACGGTTGGTGTTGGTGAAATAAACACTTTTTAAGAGAAATTGTAGCTGGTGATGAGTGAGAGCTGCCCACGCCCTGTATTGGGGAGCTGCTGTTCCCCATGAGCGGTCTCTGGGCTTCCCTTACACCTCGCAGATCTCTTGTCGGTGTTTTTATCGATTCGGGCGCATTCTCAGCCTTACCTGTGGCGGGAGGTGTTGGCACTGGTTGAAAGGGTTGTTTTTTTCACTGAGCAGACCTTTATTTCCATGAAAAATGCCACCTGGAGCCTGCGGCCTTGCACGCTCCTTGGCTGGGCGACCGCTTGGCAAGGTGAGCGCGTCCCTCCCCCTAAATGCAGCTGCTGCTCCTTCCCCTTCCAGAGACCTCGGACGACGCCAAAGGTACGTCCTGCTCCCCTCTCCTCCCGCACCCCAGCAGCTCCCCCCTCCTCTCGCACCCCAGCAGCTCCCCCCTCCAACATCGCCTTCTCCAGCTCAGCTTAATTTTGCCGAGACGCTCTGCGGGGGCTGAGCCTGGGCTCAGCTCGTGAGCATTGCCCGGGATGGATATGGTCCTCTATAGGTGCCTCTGCCTGGGAGGCTGCGGAGGCTGCTGCGTCCCCCAGGGGCTTTGGGCAGTCTGTGGCGTGACCAAATCATAACATTACCAGATCGTGGTGTTACCGAATCGCCGCATTACCAACTGGAGGGACTGTGGCGTTACAGATGGTAGTGTTTGCAGCTGTAGCAAGGATGCAAGTGGGGAGAGGTGAGGATTTAACTAGAGCAGCTGCCCCAGAAGAAGAAGCAAGCTCAGGGAGCAAGCCATTCCCTGGGTCAGGCTTCAGGTGTGCTGAAAGCTGGGGTGTTTGCCGGTCCTTTCAGCCCATCTTATCGGGGCTCCCGGTGGGGCCGGGTGCTCGGGGAACCAGGGCTTGGGCAGGGCTCAGATCCCATCCGCTGGTGAAATATTACCCCGGGGAGCTGAGCACCGTGGGAAATACTTCCCAAATGCCTTTCCTCGTGGGTGGGAGCCGCTGTGCTGCCTCGGTGGGGGGTCCCGGGGGACTCCAGCCTGGGTGAGGATGGGGCAGGGGCAGTGCTGGGGGGCAGCGGGGGCAGGATACCCCAGGAGAGGATGCTCCAGGCAGGGAAGGAGGTGGGGAGGGGTGCCAGGGGGGATCCATCCCTTGCTCTGTCCCAGCACGGCTGCTGGAGGGTCTTTTGGGTCTCTGGCACAGACCTGGGAAGGGGTGGGAGAGGCACAAGCCAAGGGACCTTGGTGTCCCCAGCCACTGCCACACGCTCCGGGCCAGGAGAGGTATCCGGGCTGAGCGTGGTGAATGAGGAAGCGACTGCTCTGCGTCACCATGAAATGGCATTTGCTCCTTTGCCAGCGAATTATCTGCTCTGGCCTCGCGGGCGGTCTGGCCTCCCTCCAGGAGGGACAGGCAGGATGAGGCCCTGCGTGGGGCAGGGACAAGGACTCAGCAGCCCGAGGCCGGAGCCGGATGGCTGGATGGGGGTTCACCATCCCTGGGTCATGGTGGTTCACTGGAAAATGGACGCCTCCCAGTGAAACCAGTATGGCCAGTGGGAATATCCTGGTCACCCTCATCATCTGTGCCAAATCCCCCTCCCAGCCAGGGGGGCTGAGCCCATCCCTGCCACTCTGCACGCAGGATGGTGGCCTCGAAGGTGGTGCTGTCGCTGCTGGTTGCAGCTCTCCTGCTGCATGTGGCCACCACGCTGAAGATCAGCGCCTTCAACATCAAGGCGTTTGGGGACAACAAGATGTCCAACCAGACTATCGCAGATATCATCGTCTCTGTAAGTGCTGGGGGAGAGGAGCAGTCCTGGCCACTCTCTGGTTTCTGGGATGCAGCCAGCTTGGGGCAGTTGGACACCAGCTTTCTGCAGGCATCCATCCATCCATCTGTCCACCCATCCATCCATCTATGTTGCCATTCATACACGCCTCCATCCACCCATCTGCTCTTCCCCCATCACCATCTCCAGCCTTGGGCCATCTCCACTCTTGCTGGTCCCCAGCCAAGGATGGGTGATGCTCGGTGCTGCCCAGGTTCCTCTCTCAGAGCAGCCTGCGAGCGAGGAGCTGCTGGGATGGTGGGTGGTAGACAGGCGTGCGTTAGAGGGCACTGTGTCACCCCAGGGTCCTTCCAAGCCAAAGGACACCAGCAGAGGATCTCCCTCCTTGGCTGTTGGGTCCTTGCTGTCCCCCTGTTGCCAGCCTGGGAGCTTTCAGAGCCCAGCCCGGGCACCCACAGGTGCCCCCACGAGCAGCTCCTGGCCAGGGGCAAGCAGCTCTGAGCTTGTTCCCCCAGATCCTGTCAGGATACGACATCACCCTGGTGCAGGAGGTCCGGGATGCCGACCTGAGCGCTGTGAAGAAGCTCGTGGACCAGCTCAACAGGTGACCCTGATGGCGGAGGGCAGGGGGTGCTTGCAAATGGGATGCTGGGACAGATCCTGGCTGGTGTCTCGCCGTGCCACAGCACCTCTGGCTTGGCCAGAGAGAGTCTGCTGGGTGCTGGGAGGCACCGGGACCCTCCTCTCACCGTCTCCACATCTCGCTCCCAGAGCATCTGTGCACTCATACAGCTTTTTGGATAGCATCCCCCTGGGTCGGACCAGCTACAAGGAGCAATACCTCTTCATCTACAGGTAAGGGATGCCGCCAGGGTCCGGTGTCCCCCATGTCACCCGCTGTCCCCCTCAGCAGCCCCCGAAGGGAGGTGGGTACCTTCGGGGGTCCCAGCTATGGCGGGAGTGGTGCTGGGAGCTGCCCCGCTCTCCTCCCTCAGGTCAGACCTGGTCTCCGTGCTGGGAAGTTACTACTACGATGACGGCTGTGAGTCCTGCGGGACCGATACCTTCAGCAGGGAGCCCTTCATTGTCAAGTTCTCCTCGCCCACCACACGTGAGCAGAGCCAGCGCACGGCAGCACCTCGGCTGGCACTAGGGGCTGCTCGGACCTGGCACGGGCTGAGCCCGGAGTTGTGCCTGCCAGGCGGGGGGGTCGCATCCTGGAGCCCAGCTCAGGGGCTCCACTGGGATCCTTCACTGCTGTGGGGTCCCCTGTGGGTGCTCAGGGGTCCTGGGTACCTGCCCAGCATGGCCAGTGCTGCCTGCTGTTTCCCACCATGTGCCATCTCCCATCATCTCCCATCTCCTCCCATTGCCTGTCATCTCCCACCATGCACTCTCTCCACTTGCCTGCCATATCACGTCTCCAGCTGTTTCCCATCATGTCCCACATCCCATCACCTGCCACCTCCTATCTTGTGCCATATCCCACCATCTGCTTCCTCCAGTTGCATGTCATCTCCCATCATGTGCTATCTCCCATCACGTGCCGTCTCCCATCACCTGCCATCTCCCATCATCATCATCTCCCATCACCTCCCATTTCCCACCTTGTGCCATCTCCTACCCTGTGCCATTGCCTCCACCCCCCTGGCAGCTCCCCAGGGCACACATGCTTTCCCATCTCTTTCCCACCCCGTCTCTTTCCCAAAACCATGGCAGTTTGGAAAAAATGACAGGAAACAAGCAACAAACCCCAAACCACGTGCAGAGGGACGCAGCTCCCCGCTGGAAATTCCAGCCTGGAGGACAGGCAGACCTCAAAAAGCCAATGTACCCTTCCCCTTCGGCAGCTTTTCCCAGCTGGTAGCTGGGGCTTGGCCTGGGGTGGTCCCGTGGGGTTCCCACTCCCTTCCCGGGTGCTGCACCCGAGCCGGGGGCTGATGGCCGCCTGTCCGGCAGAGGTGGAGGAGTTCGTGATGGTGCCCCTGCATGCCGAGCCCAGCAGCGCGGCGGAGGAGATCGATGCACTCTACGACGTCTACACCGAAATCATCAACAAGTGGGCGACTAATGTAAGCGGTGGTGGGGAGCTCGGCTCCTCCCTGGGGCAGCCAGGCAGGCTGGGCTACAGCCACCACACATCTGGAGGCCGTCCTGGGATGGACATGTCCCATGGGAGACCTCTCATACCCATCGGAGCGGGTGCCAGCCTGGCAATGTCTGGGCAGGGAGCTGCTGGGTGGCTCCGCTGCCATTACTGGGGGCTTGTCCCCCTGTGCTGGGGAGCCCCAGGGGGGATTTTGCTGCCCCGTAAGATTTTAGGGAGTCCTTGGTGCCCCGTAAGGTCCGTGGGCAGGGACACAGCACACTGCCCTGCAGAACGTCCTCCTCCTGGGCGACTTCAACGCCGACTGCTCCTACGTGACCAGCGCCCAGTGGCCGTCCATCCGCCTGCGCTCCCTCGACGCCTGCGAGTGGCTCATCCCCGACAGCGCCGACACCACCGTCGCCAGCACCACCGACTGCGCCTACGACCGGTGGGTGCTGTGGCAGTGGCACGGGGGCTGGCGTGGGGGAACCAGCGGGTGCTAACACCCCCGTGATGCCCCGGCAGCATCGTCGCCTGTGGCACTGCGCTGCGCCAAGACATCGAGCCCGGCTCTGCCGCTGTGAACAACTTCCAGAAGACTTTCCACCTCCAGAGCAAGGATGTGAGTGAGGGGCCGGGGCACACGAGCCTGCCAGCACTGGGATCCAACCCACCATGCCTCCCGGGAGCGCGGGTGGGCTCCCTGTTCCCCAGGGTGCACTTGAGGGTGGCCTGACCCCAGCCCCTGCACTGATGCAACCCCCCAGCCTGAGCATTTTGGGGTATGCTCTAAATTTTGGGGTTGGAGTGGAGCTTTGGGGTCCTAGCCAGCCATGACAGCAATGGCAGGTCTGGATGAGCTCAGCCACCTCTCTACTTTCCCCCCACACCCAGGCTTTGGCCGTCAGCGACCATTTCCCGGTGGAGGTGACCCTGAAACCCCGCTGAGCCCGTCCCCGTGCCGGCAGCTACCAGGACGCCCTGGCACACACCTGCATCCCTCATGGGAGTCCACACACCACCAGTGCCAGCCAAGCTGCCTGTCGTCTCTGCAAGGAGCTGCTCTTCGGGGTCTTGTGGGACTGGGATGCTCTCCACTTCCATTAAAAAATGAGCCTTTTCCAGACCTTGCAGCTCTGGAGGGAGGGTCTCTTCAGCCCACCCAGCAGTCCCCAACACCTGAGGCCCCCATCCCCCTGCCAGCATCAGCCCCACCAGGGCTGGAGCCAGCGAGGTCCCCGGGGCCGGGGGTCCCCTCCTGCCATCGAGAGCCCCAAACCTGTGGGGCGACAATCCCTGCTCCCCTCTGAGCTGCCGGTGGCAAAAGCAGGCAGACCAGGAAGGGCCTGGGAGGCTCGGGGCAGGATTCGGCCCCCTTGCTGGGTCGCAGGATGCCCTTCCACTGGGTTGGGGGCCGTATCCTGCTGGAGCCTGCCTGGCTGTGGGATGGCTGATGGGTGCTGACGGTGAGGGTGGGGGGAGACGGAGGACGTGAGTCAGTTCCTGAGGGGTTTGGTGCTTCCCGGGGGGGTTTCGGTGCCAGCACAGCGCCAAGGGACACTGGACTCATCCTGTGACTGGGTGTGAGGATGCAAAACCCGGCAGCGCACGCAAGAGCATGGCAAGCCCCAGCATGAACAGCCGTCGCCTCCCTGCCCACTCCGCTGCCGGCGCCCCGGCAGAGCTGCCCGCTCCCTCAGCCAGGGTGATGCCATGTGCCAGGGTGATGCCATGTGCCGAGGTGATGCCATGTGCCGGCGCAGGGGATGCCGGCTCCGCCGGGGCTGCTTTGGGTCACCAGTTGGGCTGATTTGGGTCACCAGTGGGGCTGATTTGGGTCATGAATGGGGCTGTTCTGGGTGACCACCGAGGCTGCTGTGGTGGTTTGCAGCCGTCCTCTCTTGCCCAGGCTGGCGGTGCTCAGCCTGCCTGACCCAGACACCCTGCCATTTCCTTCTCTCCCCTCTAATTACACCATGTGAATCACTCACATTAAGGCCATCGCCCTTCGCTGCCTGCCTGGCCACCATGCCCCGCACCATGACCCGGGGGCCACCCCAGCAGCAGCACCCTGAGTCCTGCGCGCCCACCCAGCCCCACCGGGATGCCCCCGCACCACTGCTGTGCCTCCCCGGCCACCCTTCGTCGCGTCGGCACAGGGGCGGCTACGCCAGCCCCACCCTGCTGCGCCGTGGGTTTTTGGTTTCCCAATGTAGGAAGGAGCCCAAAGCTGTGCCAAAACCCCCACGGGGGTGTCCGACTCATCCTGCTTTGCCGGCACCTCCACCGGGAATAAAGCCGCCTGTCCTGCTGCCGGGAGGGCAGAGGTGCTACACACTCGGCACGGTAAGGACGGATCTGGGCTCAGCAACTTCAGCCGCGAACCGGGAGGGACTGGGATAAGCTGGGACGAGCTGGGATGAGGAGTTGCTCCCTTACTCTGACTGTGGGGACTGCGATCAAATTTAGGGACGCAAAGCAGCCCAGGGTGCTGGTGGCGGCGGCCGGGGCTGGTGGGCGAAGGAGACGTCCCAGCAGGGAGCGGAGCTGGGCGATCCCGGGGGCGGGCAGAGGCGCTGCCAGGCGGATTCACTGCAGCAGGATGGGGTTCAGCTTCCCCTGGGACCAGCCCGTGCTGGCTCCGCAGGCTACTCCGGGCGGTGCAACACCAGGACTTAGGAAGGACCTACATGGATTTTTTTTTTTTGCTCTTTCTCCAAATCCAAAGCACTTTTCCAAGTTCGGCTCCCATTGCTACACCCCTGCAGCTCAGCATACCTCCCGGCAGGATGGGGACCATGGCGCTGGCACTGTTCCTACTGGCCATGGCTCTCCCATGCCTGGCCACCACCACACTGCGCGTTGGCGCCTTCAACATCCAGGCGTTTGGAGACACCAAGATGTCCAACGAGGAAGTGGCGGGCATCATCGTCAGCGTGAGCGCAGCCGGGGATGGGCTCGGCACTGGGGCAGACCCAAATGTGGCTCCTGTGCCAGGGACACGCAGGGACATGGCCATGGACGGGCTGGCATCCCAGTGCGGGGGATGCCCTGGGAGGATGAAGGCTTGGTGGGGACCAAGGTGGGATGCCAGGCACACCCTGCAGTCCCTCTGAGCCCTCCGTGGGGACATCTGCCCTGATGCTGAGGAATATCCAGGTCCCCGTGGTGCTGCACCCAGCACCGCGTCACGGTGCCTGGCCAAGAGATGGGTGGGAGACGCGAGGGTGGCCCCAAGCCAGCAGCAGGCTCCCTCTCACCATCGCCATCCCTCTTGGTCCTGCAGATCCTACACCGCTACGATGTGGCACTGGTGCAGGAGGTGCGCGACTCCGACCTCAGTGCCGTCACCCAGCTCATGGAGCAGCTTAACAGGTACGAGCGGGGCTGGGGCCGAGAGTGCCCGGGCTGAGATGCCAGTGTTAGCAGGGAAAGCCAAGCTGCCTGAGTAATAAAAGGCCAAAAGAAAAGTCATCCATCGGCAGAGGGTTTGTTTTTGGAAAGAGGACTAGGAGAAAAGTGCGGGGGCTGAGGCTTTGAGCAGGCACTGAAAAAGCCACCGGGAATAATGCAGGGAGGGGAAGGGGGATACAGGCGGCACAAAATCCCTCCGAAAGCTGCAATCCCACTGGAGCACACAGGATGGAAAGGAACTACAGCTCTGGCAAGCTCCGTCTCCACAATCCAACAGGACAGGGCAGAGGCGAGATGGGGGATGAAGCGGGCAGGGGCAGGCAGCCCCCCGCACCCCAAGACCCTGTGCGTGGCAGGGGGACCCTGGCATGGACCCAGTAGCGGACGATGCTCTGAAGTGAGCGGCTCAGGCACCCCAGGAGGAAAAGGGGCTGCCGGGGTGGGCTAAGATGAGGGGCTGGATGCTGACACCGTTTTGGGTGAGGGCACAGGCCAGGGCCGGGCAGAGGCTGCTGCTGCCTTGTTGCAAGGCGGTGAGTGTCCATGAGCAGATACGCCCAGCCCATGTCCTCGCCCCTTCGGTGTCCCCTCCAGCATGGCCACAGAGCAGCCGGGGCAGGGAGGGTGACGCTAGGCTCCGCAGGGCCCCGGGCTGCTCATTAACCTAATTTAGCTTTGCTGCAAATGAAGGTGGGGAGCGTCCCTGCAGAGAAAGGGTGGCAGGAGCCGCCCTGCGTCCTGCGTGCAGCCGGCCGTGCCCAAGGGGCCACCCCGGGGTGGTGGGGACAGCAGGGTGGCTTGGAGCCATTACACCCCGTGTCACCCCACGGCCAGGACACAGTGGCCCATGGGGACAGCACAGCAGGACTGGCTGGTGCCAATGCCACGGCCACCCAGCCCCTGGCCGTGCCGAGGCTCCCCCAGGATGGTACCACCCATGTCACTGGTGCCAGCCATGTCACCATCCTGCCTTTGCATCTCTGCAGCGTGTCTACGTCCCTGTACGACTACGAGATCAGCGGCCCCCTGGGACGGGACAACTACAAGGAGATGTACCTCTTCATCTACAGGTAACGGGGCTGGGCGTGCTGCCGCCTGTCCTGCGGCACCATGGGGCCACCGACACCATGGAGGGGACACAGGGGCCATGCTGAGCCCCAGGGTCACCATCCCTTTGGTCCCACAGGACAGACGTCGTGTCTGTGGTGGACACCTACCAATATGAGGACCCTCAGGACGTCTTCAGCCGGGAGCCGTTCATCCTGAGGGTCTCAGCGCCCCACACCAGTAAGCAGGGGAATGAGTGGCCCCGGGCGGTGGCATGGGGTGGCAGCAGGGCTGATGTCCCTCTCCCCTGGCAGAGGTGGAGGAGTTTGTGCTGGTACCACTGCACTCGGCCCCGCACGATGCTGTTGCCGAGATCGATGCACTCTACGACGTCTACCTGGCCATCATCAGCAAGTGGGGGACTGACGTGAGTGCCGCTGGCACCGAGGGTGGGTGCTGAGCCCCGGGGACCGTTTGACCCATGCTGGGTCCCCGCTCTGAGGCGAGCGCAGCTCGTGCAAGGGTGGTGGGATGGGGACCCTGCTCCTGCCCCGTCCCCTGCCATGGGGGATGCCCTGGCACCTGGGGCTGACCGCTGTGGGAGGACTGGTGTCGGGGACAGCTCCGTTCCCCAGCTGCCACGAGCGCTGCCATCTTCCCATCGCAGAACATCATGTTCCTGGGGGACTTCAATGCTGACTGCTCCTACGTCCAGTCGAGTGACTGGTCGGCCATCCGCCTGCGCACCAGCGATGTCTTCAAGTGGCTGCTCCCTGACAGCGCCGACACCACCGTGGGGAAGTCGGACTGCGCCTACGACAGGTGAGCGCCGCGGCGGCACCGCGATCCCCTCCCCGGCACCCTGGGCCCCCCCTGCCCATCCCGCACCACCAGCGGCCGAGCGCAGGGGCAGGAGCAGGACCCACCGCCCGCGTCTCCCTGGCAGGATTGTGGTATGCGGCGCCAAGCTGAGGAGAAGCATCGTGCCAAGTTCAGCTACCATCTACAATTTCCAGCGCGCTTTCCAGCTGGAGCAGGAGGAGGTGAGCTGGGCTTGCAAACCCGGGGCTCAAACAGGCACCAAAGCTGAGCTGCCCCAGGGAACACCGGCTGTGGGGCTGCTGGTGTCTGTTCGGGATTAGGCAGCCGGACCATGGCCACGTAGGCACTGCATTTAAGAAAAAGCCCAAAAGCGGAGTTGAAGCAGCTCCAGCAGCAGCCCGGGCTGGCTCCAGCCACGGTACATGTGCCCCTGCCCAGCGCCTGCCTGCTGGGACACCAACACAGACCCTGCGTAAGGCACGCTCCCCTCCCGGGACACAGCAGCTTGCAGCCAGATAATGGGGAGCTCGGGGTGCCAAGGGATCCATGGGTGGAAATGGGAGGGGGGATTTGGGGTCATTGCTTGTCCCCACGGGGAAGAGATGAGACGCATGCGTTTTTTTGTAGCAGGACCCATGGCGTGGGGCAATCGGAGCCAACCTCCAACCACCCATAGCTGGCACAGAGCTCCCAAGCGAGACATGAGGGTCTCGGAGGGCAGGCACCCCCCTGCCTGTGTCCGCCCCAGGCCACACCTGGGCACCTCTCCATGAGAGGTGCCAAAACTGGAGCCTTGCGTGTTGAGCCTCTCGGGGTTGGGGACATTGCGTCCCCCTCCAGCAGGCAGAAGGGTCTGGCAGGGTGATCGCAGTCGCCCTGCTGGCCCCACCAGCACGGCGAGGGGCTCACCGAGCCCCTGCGTTACACCTCCCCACCTCTCGCCCTCCTCCAGGCCCTGGCAGTCAGCGACCACTACCCGGTCGAGGTGAAGCTGATGGCTTGAGCTCCTCCTGCGGCCGCAGACTACGATCCAGCTCCAGCTCCCACCACCAACCCCTGTGAAGCGCTCTAGGCAGCCCCATCCACGAGCCCAGCGCATGGGCTGCTCCGGGTCCTGGTCTGGAGAAGGGTCGCAGCCGGCTCCCGGCTGTGCCCAGGCCTGCCCAGCCCAACGCGAACCAGAGCCCAGAGACAGGCCACCAGCCAGGAAGCGGTGACCGCAGACAGGCTGGGGAATGACGCATCCATGTCCTACCTCATCAAAGACTTTATTGACAAATCTCATTTCACAATTAGCTGTTGGACAGGAGGGAGGATACCCAAGGACCGGCGGGCTCGGGCCACAGCAGTGTCAAGACCCTCTCCTTGTCCATTCCTCGGGGGAGCGGAGCAGGCAGCTCTCCCCGCTCTCAGGAAAGGCAGCGGTGGTATCAGGCACTCTATGGGGACTAAGGGGAAGGGGCAGTTGGGGCGGCCATGGGAGCAGGCAGCAAGTCACCAATTGCTGACACTGTAGATGGCTTCACTGTGAAAGTCTACAGCTTCTGCAGCGTTTCGGAGGGTCACTTGAGCTCCTGGGACCGGGCCCTGGCCGGCTGGCTCCTCAGCTCTTCTTCTTCTTTAGCATCTCCATGTACATGCGAAGTGACTTCTGAATGGACTCTTTTGAGATGAAGCTGATGAAGTTCTGAAGGTCTTCCTCCCGGTGAGCTACCAGGCGGTCCAACACCGCCTTCCTCATCATGGACTTGGTGAGCTGACGGGCATGGTCTGCAGTGAGGAGAGCCAGGATGGGGAACACGTATGGTCCTCACCCCTGACCAGCTCTGGGCCACTGCCACCATATGCAGGTCCCTCTGGAGGGGAGGTACTGCACGCCAAAGGGCTCTTTAAACCAGCAGGGAAAGGTGTAAGAAAAACCCACCGGCTGGAAGCTGAACTGGATAAATTCTCATACAATAAATTATGATCTGTACCGCTCAGTGTGGAAACAACTGGGACAGATGCCAAAAAGTTGTGTACCTCCTTCTCTTTGCACCCTCCAGAGCCCGGCCCCCACCCCAATACACACCACTGGGCTCAGGACAGCAGTAACCAAACAAAATTCTCTGCTATTTGAAACCGCTCTGGCTCTAAGCTCCCTCAACCCAACCCCTTCAACTTCTGGCAAGACAGTCTGCTCACGCCAAACGTGCCGTACAAAAGCCAGCAGCGCTGTCCCCTCGAGCTCATCCCGACGGCAGGCTCTGGGCCAGTTCAGTACAGATACATGGATGCTGCTGGAGCTGAGCGAAGGCTCGAGCACACATCTGCTCACACACACACGCGCAGAGCCACGCGTAATGACGCAGCTGCACATCTGTGGCACAGATGTTGCATATGCGCTCTCAGCGTGCTGTAACAGCGACCGTGAAATGATGACCAACCCCCCACGCACTGGAAACCCCGAATCGCCCCAGCACCTGTGCGTTACAGACACCTTCACTCGGACAGACTCTCCCCCAGCGCTGATTTAGGGCTCTGGGGAAAAGATCTGCATGGTGCCTCCTGGAAGTCAGGAGAGAGCACAGCTGAGACATGCTCCCCTCTCTTGGGGGCTGAGGTTTCACTCTAACGCCAGGACAGCAGGGGAAAGAGCTGTTTAGGGACCCTCTTCCAAGGCTGGGACACAAAATGACAGTCCTGGGACCCGTCCATTTCTGCCCAGTTTCATTCAGGTTTCTACAGAAAGAGCAGCCGAAGGGTGATATAAGTAGCTGCACCTCCCTGCAGCGCTCAGGAGGTGGCATGGGATGGGATAGCTCAGGTCTAGCCCTGGCCCACGGAGAGCCCTCTCCCAGCCCAGGAACCACGCGCCAGTCACAGGGCAGCCCAAACACGCGTGTGATGTCTGTGCTTGCTGTCTGTCCTCACGCCCCCATCGCCATCCCCAGCTCAGCAGAGTGACGAGAGTCGATCCAGCCACCCAGGCACTCTCGCCCAGCCCGTTCCCTCCACTACCCGGCACCTTTCCTGTGGTAACACCTCCACCGACAGACACAGAGATTCAGTTTGTATCTGGAGCTCAGGCACCTCTGGATTGACTCAGCAGGGCTGGCAGGGCGAGTCGAGCTGGAGCCACGTGCCCTGCACACCCAGCACGGTGTCCTCCCGTGCCAGAGCACTGGCAAGCACGTCTCTGTTAGCCCAAGGCTGCCTGGACCGCTGTCCTGAGCTTTCCTACTGCCCAGCCGTTTGCACCTTCCCTTTAAATGGACACTGTTACATAGCTCCCAGGTACCAGCCCCGGTACCTGTCCTTCCCACCCCGACCAGATCCCCCCTTCCTCTGCTGGAGGTGCTGCCCTTACCGGGAAGGGCCAGCCACTGTGCCATAGCAGCTGCAGCCTTCTCCTGGAGCCTCTCCTCTGGCACCAGCTCGTCCACAAGGCCTAACCTGTGGGCCTGGGGCGCGGAATGGAGGGAGCCCAGCTGGAGGGAGCTTTCAGCAACTCGGTGTCCCACAACATTCACAAATGTGTCCTTAAACCTAGAAGAGATAGGAGGAAAAGCCATGGTCAGGGAGAGACACCCAGCGGCTGCTGCACCCAGACACTGAAGCTAAGAGCACGCTCGGTCCCACTCCCCAGGCACGGGTCTCTAACAGCAGCTATGGGCTCAGCCACGCTGTGCAAAGTCAGGTGAGCAGAGCCATTTTTGGTACTACCCCAACAGAGTTCACCCTCCTCTCCACGAGAGCTGCTCTGTTTACCCTCAGTGCACAGGTCCCAGCTGTGCCCACTTGCTGTGACATGAAAGCTCCTTTCCAACAGCACATTTACACGTTCTTAGGGCAACCAAGGGTCCGTGCCTTAGAACATTAGTGCCCCTATGCCTCCAGAGATCTCCACAACTATGGGATTTTGCAGGTACACAGCCTGTACTCGTAGAAAAGCATATTCCCAGACTGTGCCTGACCAGGGGCATCTCCCAGCACTAGTTTCGGAGTTGACTGCAGAGTCAGAACTGAGGTCCTCACTGGTGAAGGATGTGAGGACATTCTGCAGCCTGAAAGCTTTTCAGATACCTGCAGAATCGGACAGAGAAATGAGGTGCTGTGTCCTGCAGCTGCAACTACCTGACCACTGACACAGAGAAGTACATCTCAGCGGCCAGTTAAACTGATTAATAAACTCCATGAAGATGAATTCTTTTTAGAGACCTACATGTGACACTACAAGTGGGAGGCACTGGCCTACCAGAAGGGAGCCACAATGCCCAGTTGGGCTTCGTTCAGGCCGATGCTGAATTTGGGGTTCTCCACCATGATCCTGTAGTCACACGACAAGGCAATGAGACAGCCTCCCGCCGGGCTGGAGCCCTGGAAAAGAGAAGGAAGAAGTGAGTCTAGGTCACGGTACAAATGTTTCTGCACCCCCAGCCTCGCTGTGTCCTCCAGAGCAGGGAAGACACAGGGTGACAGAGCAGCTGTCCCCCAAATCCCTCATTACCTGATTCAAAACAGCCCTAAAGAAGAGTTCTGATAGGTTTACCAGGGTTTATCCTTTCATTTTTCAATGCTCTTTGTTTCTTGCATTTTCCAGCCTGGAAATCTAGTTAATTGATCCGTGTTACTCTGGTTGCAAACCCTGCAGCGGAGATTTGCTACAGCATTTTCTTGTAACCGACAGGAGTTTTTAACCCTACTTGAGTTTGTAACCCCCAATGCCACAGAAACGGTTCTGTCCAGGGCCTTTGTCACACCTTCTGTCTACAAAACTTCCATTTGTGACCATCTTTGCCATGACTTGGTGCTTGCTTAGCCCTGCACAGGGTGCCTGCGGGAAGCCGCTCAGAGACAGCCTGCCTTCAAAGACAGTCTATGGACGGACACAGAACTGTGAGCTGCCAAAGTGGCATTGCACTGGAAAATGAAAACGAGACACCGAGCAGGTAACAACCCACCTATGGACACTGAGGTTCAGACGGCACTTCCCTGCTGGCCAAGAACCACGGCTGGAGGAGCAAAACCCAGTGAAAAAAGGGCTCACGACAAACCACACTGCCCAAAGCACTGCTGCCCACAGGGCCGAGGACAAGCACTTGCGGCACTGCATGGCTGCCTCCCATCTCCTCCCCTCTAGCGAAGCAGCGCAACAGCCAAGCAGGTGACCCTGGGCAAGTCCTACGAGTCTCATCCGTGAGAAAGCAGCCGGTGGACATGTGGCAGGCGTCCTTTGGACTTCTCCTACGCCAACCGCTCGGCTTCTCTGGCACTCATCTGCCATCAGTGCCCGTCTGGGCTTTACCACTGGCTTATGGTCCTCCTCCTACTCCTCCAGCCTGGAGGACAAACTCCCAGCCGAGTTCTTGGGGCAGGGTATGGCTCTTGCTGCCCAAAACACTGCCAAGGGCACTTCAGTCTCCATTGGCAGGACATGACTGCCGTGCCTGCTCTCCACCGCAGCCGAAATGCTGCTATACCCCAGCACCACCTGCAGCTCACATGGAGCCTGCAACATCCCACGCTTCCATACCTTCCCACACCCCAACGTGCCGAACCGACAGACACGTACTTTGCCCAGACATCCCAACAAATACATCCCTGTCTTTGTTTCAGCACGGACAAGCCTGATTTTTCAGCTGTCCCTGCCCACATGGTGCAAACAAGCTGCAGCGAGTGACAGACTGCACAGGATGGCTAGGAAGGCGGATCTAAAGGACGCACATTGATTGCAGCGACTGTCACCATGTTGGAGCCGTACAGCCGGAGCCACATCTCCTGCACGGCTCTCCAGAACTCGGCATAGTGCTCTGGGCTCTTCCCGTACATCTCGGTGATGTCCAGGCCAGATGAGAAGATTTTGGGGACGGCCTGGAATCGGGAAAATACAATTGTCACTGAGAGTCACTGCTCAGGGATGACCCTTTAGTCCCATAATGCACTCGGCCTGGCAGCCTGAGGAAAGAGAAAGCGATAATTAAACATGACATAAACCAGGGTCTTTCAGGGTTCGGAAACAATCTCCCCAGTGCTCCCACAGCCTGGATCATCCCACCACCATGGCCTGCAGGGCTGGGACTCTTTGCTTGCAGCACGATTTCTCATTATTAGAGTCCCTGTGCAGATACATCAACCACGCAGCACAAAACCTGTCCTGCCCCATTCCCGGGCACCACATTGTATCCACATTACGTCTGAAAATAAACACTGGCTTCCCCTAGCAGCTCCCTCCAGGCAGTTCAAGAGATCTCAAGGGATGTGTCAGGTTTGCACATAAGCAGCTTTGATTTTAATGACAAATGATAATACTCAGTTGTTACTCTTCTGCTGGAAAAGGGCAGGGAAGAAAGAGCACAGCGCTTCCAAGAACCCCCTCCCCTCCTTCCGGAGCCGATCCAAGCCGCCTCCTAGCCCTCCCGTGCCAGTGACCAGGGAGCCAAGAGACCAAACACGAGCAAGGGAATGGCACCAGTGCCTGTCAAATTGCCCCGCAGCTCGCACCCCAAGCTCAGGACAACACGTACTGATGTGAGGATCACACCTCGGCAGGCCCGGTCATTCTCCAGCTTCTCCAGGCTTATGCAAAACTCGGTCAGCAAGTCCAGGCTGAGGCTGTTGACCGGGGGGCTCTTCAACTTCATCGTGGCGACGCCTGTGCCGTGGTAAACACTGAGACATCAGAACCCCCCACCGCAGCAGCACACACCGCCTTGCCCAAGGGAGCTTCACCTGCCTCCCTGTTTCCCTGCTCACCCAGATCGTGTCTTTCCACTCCTGGCTCTTCAAAAAGCCCCCAGAGCGGCAGGGCCAAGAGCAGGGCCCCGCCTTTGCCCAGATCTGCCCGCAAGCTGGGCTCACTCAGCCAGTGGTGAACCTGGAGCACCAAGGAGCATGCGTGCCGGGGCACACCATGTGTCCCGAAGACAAGCCACCTTCGGGCTCACGCTGCCCAGCAGTTCCCCTCTCTCTGGGCTCACTGGATAAGGTCGAGCCTCCAGCTTCTATTGCAGCAAACATCCCGTGCCCAGGGGATCACACACCTTTCTGAGCTTGCCGGCAGCACCGCCACCCTGGCCAGCACCGTGGGAAGAGCTCTGAGCCCTTGTCCCCTCCCAAACGGCACCACCCTACCCCAAAAGGTCGTCACTGAGTGCTTAGTCTGGGTGCTGCAGCCGTGCCCAGGCTGGGGACAGCGTGAGGACGCATCCAGGGGCCTGGCAGCCGAAGGCAGGCCCCGGGAAGCCCCAAGAACAGGCGCCTTTTGTTCACTGTGGGGATGTGGCCCCGTAACAGCTATTCCTGGCAGCCAGGACACAGAAATCCCCAACAGCAGCTCTACCAGGTCCCCAAAGCAGGGACCCCGCAGAGGGGACAATGCATGGGCAGGGGACGGGGCACGAGGTCTGACAGTGACAGCTAGGGTTTGCCTGTGGCACCCAAGCAGCACCCAGCCACCCGAAGTGCCCACGACCGGTGGGACTCCCATCACCAAACGCTTCTCTCTGAGGGTCCTAAGCAGCTGCAGCTGGAACACCTATGGCTTTGGTGGCTTTCCATGCCCAGAGCCGCATGTGCCGTGGGGCAAGCATGGGAGAGACCCCCCGCCTGCATCCCTCAGCACCCCGCAGGAGGCGGGTGACGCTGCAGAGGTGCCACCCGCTGTACCTGAGCTCTCATCCAGCTCCACCAGGATCTTGTTGTTGCTGAAGGCACGACACGGGGCGAGCGGGAAGCCGGGGGGCTGCCGGGCGGCTCTGTCCCATGCCGGCGGCTGGCGGCAGAGGGGCTGCACACCTGGGGGGACAGAAGCTGGTAAGCTCAGGCAGAGGACAGGGGTGTGGGGTGTGCTCCCCACAACCGCTCTGCATGGACAGGTTGGGGACAAGGGGGACACCGTGAGCCACTGAGGGAGGGACAGGGGGACACCCTGACCCACTGATGGAGGACATGGGGACACCCCAGTCCGCGGCAGGGGACACGGGGGACACCCTGACCCACTGAAGGAAGGTGTGGGGACACGCCGACCCACTGAGGGAGGACATGGGGACACCCTGACCCACTGACAGAGGACACGGGGACACCCCGATCCACGGCAGGGGACACGGGGGACACCCTGACCCACTGGAGGGACACGGGGGACACCTCGATCCATGATGGGGGACACCGGGAGACACCCTGACCCACTGAGGGAGGGACACGGGGACACCTCGATCCATGATGGGGGACACGGGGGACACCCCAACCCACTGAAGGAAGGCGTGGGGACACCCCGACCCACTGAGGGAGGACATGGGGCACCCTGACCACGGCGGGGGGGCACGGGGAGGACCCGTGTGGACGCCCCCACTCGCGTCGGGGGGCAGGGGGACAGGCTGACCCCCAGAGCGGGGACACGGAGGGCCGGGCGCACCTGACCGAGCGATCCTGCGGGCGAGGGTCAGCGCCATCTTCTGCCGCCGGGTCAAGGGTGTGGGGCGGGGGGGGGGGGCGGGGCCCCGGCCGCGCGTCCCCGCCCCGCCCCGCCCTGTAGGACACGTCCCCGGCGGCAAGCACCGCCCCCGGGGCTGAAGCCCCGCCCA